CTCAGTCTGGTTCCTCAACTCTGCCTTTGATGTTCAGGGCTCCCAGATTGCCATATATATTGAATCACTTGTTTTTTCGAGTCTTCGTTGTAAGAGGGTCCACCAGAAGTGTCTGACTACTCAGCCATCTTGGCCCTGCCTCTTGTGTGTAAATTTTTGAATGAGAAACTAGTTTGTGTTATAAACTTTCATCTAAAGTACAATAAAATTTTTTAAAAAGTGTGTCTAGCACAATGCCAGGCCCTATGGAGAAGTAACAGTGGAAGAGGAGACTAATTCTGAGGCACTCTCATCCTAGACAAGCAGGCATAATACCCCTAAAACAACCTTGGTGTCTGCCAACAGGAGAATGGCAAAACTGTGTATATTCATACAATGGAACACTATGCAGCAATAAAAAGGAATGAATTACTGAAATATACAACAGCATGGACCAATCTGAAAAGCATTATACTGAGTGAAAGAAGCCAGATCCAAAAGAGTACATACTGTATGACCCCATTTTTATGATATTCTAGAACAGTCAGTAGTAATCTGTGGTAAAAACAATCAGAACACTGGTTGCCTGTGGGGGTGGAGGTGGGGATTAACAGGGAAGAAGGAAATTTCTGAGGTAGGGTAACCTTCTATATCTAGATAGGGCTTTGCATTACACAGTGAATACATTTATCAAAATTCACCTAATGATCCACTTAAGATTTGTACATTTCATCGTATCTAAGCTTTACCCACCAGAAAGAAAAGAATCATAAACAGATATTGAATTCCAGTTAATGGTACGTATACTGAAGTCTTTAAGTGTGAAGTGTACTCATGTCTACAGCCTACTTTGAAATGCATAGAAAAGAAGATGGGTTGACAGATGGAGGAGAGATGGACTGAGGGATGGGCAGATAGATACGCAATAAAGTGAACACAGCTAAATGTTAATTCGAAGAACCTAGGTGGAGGTTATCTGGGTATTCACTGTACAGTTCTTTTACCTTTTGTATGTTTGAAATTTTTCATAATAAAAGGATAGGAAAAAACAACTAGAGGGCAGTTCTAACTCTGGATTTCCAATCTCAGATCGTGAGACAGAGTAGAAGTTTGATAAAGCCTCCTGATCACAAGCCTTAAATGCCACTTTCCTCTGCACCAGAGTCTGAGGCCCTGGGAGATTGTTAGACGTATTGGTTCTGCTAACTGGAAATCAGCTGACATCCAGTTATTTTCCAAACACAACCAGACTGAACACAAGACATGTCATAATTACAGCTTTTGTCTTTGTAAAGACTTACCCAATATTTTCAGAATAGGTGAAGAAACAAAGGTCTGCAAACTGTACACTCTAGCCACCTCTTGGCAGCAGTTTGAGATGGGGACTGGACCTGGCTTGCCTCAGAGATGGGGCTGGGTTCTGTGTTTCCCAACCCGGGATGTGGCCGGGGAGCTAGAGGGGCAGGTTGCCTTGTTGCTCCAGTCGATAAAAGGGCAGGCCAAACCAGTTGGTGGAGAAGTGGGCTGGTCATTTTCCCCAGAGTGTGAATCTGTGCTGCAGCCCCAGTATCCTTTGGAAGCACTGATGGGCTGGGCCCCCTGGTTCCTCAGAGGAGGGTGGCAATACGGCTAGATTTCCCATCTGGCATCTGCCTGTGAGCATGCTTCCTTTCTCTGCCTCTGCTGTTTTTAAGGTTGGAAAACAAAGAATGAGGCGAAGGGGCAGAGGCGTAGCAAGAGTAACAGGCACCAAGGGGGCAGTCTCTAAATTGCAACCGCCCCTTCCCAATCTCAAGTGAATAGACATTGATAGTGGCAAAGCCTCAGAGAAACACTTTCCCCCCTCTTGTCCAGCTGCCTCAGTCAGGCGCCTTTCATATTTGTGGTGCCTCAGAATGTCATTCCGCGCTTCATATGGTACCCACTTGGACTCCCCTCTACCTCCTACCCCCATCCCACGCTTCTGCAAAGGAGGGGGCGTGCCTTCCAGCAGACACTGCTTCCACTCTTGGACATGGTACCATATTTGTTTTCCTGTCCAGGTGATCGTGTTGCGATTGAGCCTGGTGCTCCCCGAGAAACTGATGAATTTTGCAAGATTGGCAGATACAACCTGTCACCAACCATCTTCTTCTGTGCTACACCCCCTGATGACGGAAACCTCTGCCGCTTCTACAAGCACAATGCCAACTTCTGCTACAAGTCAGTACCCACGGCCTCGCCTGCCTCCTGGGACCTCTCCTCTTCTGTTTGTTGGGTGATCTTTCTCCTAGTTTCCCATGGTGGTTTCTTTTTTCACTCCAGCTCATGATTCCAAACATGAAGCATCCCCCAGGCAGGCCTGCCCTTCTGGCTGTCATTGAGGGAGGGTAGCCTCACTAGGGCGAATTCATCTTTCAGTCTAACTTTCCTTCACCTAGAGCATGGCAGTGCCGGCAACAAGAAATCGCTCAGCCCTCTCTAGCCATCCTGGGAAGAACTTGGCATGGTTCACGGTCTTTTACTGGTTTCCAGTGCAGCTGCCGAAAGGGAACCTGTAACAACAACGACTGTGACAACAGTAACAGCAGACGTTTACTGAGGAGGCGTGGTGTGGTGCCAGGGCATGGGCTGTGGGGGCAGGCAGCCTGGGCTGCCATCTGGATCCCCTCCCTCCCAGCAAGAGACTTTGGGGAAGTGGCTTAACCTTCCCCTCTTCGGTTTCATTTAATCATCAGAGTAAATAAGGCAATGCGTGTAAAGTCATGATTATTGTCACTACCGGCCTGGCCTTGTGCAGAGTTCTTTGCATGCCTTATTTAACCTTTGTATTTCACCTTATCTTAATTTTATTTAACCTGTGAAGTGAGTGCCATAATTGTAGTTTTATGCAAGTGTTAACTGAGGCAAAAGGAGGCTAACTGATTTAGGAACAGAGAAGAACCAGGAGTCCAAACTGGGTCTCTGATTGCAAAGCTCCTACCCTGTACCCACTGTTGTTAGTTGCTGTCAAGTTGGCTCCGACACATGGCAACCCCATGTCCAACAGAACAAATACTGCACAGTCCTGTACCATCTTCTCTATCGTTGGTTTGCTCAAGTCTATTGTTACAGCCACTGGGTATTTTGAACGCCTTCCAACCTAGGCACTTCTAGCCTCCTAGGTTGGAAGGCACAGTACCTAGTACCCTACCCCAAGTCTTGCCCAAAATGGCTTAGAAGTGAGAATTTGTGTCTGGCAGAAGCAAAGCTCTGTACTTTCTGCATGAGTCCCAGCCTGTGGAGCTTGTCAGTGCTGATGTGACGGGGCCCAGGCATATTCTCCTTCTGTCCCAGCCTGGCCCCAGCAGTGGCTCTGTCAGCCAGGGTGGAGCTTGTCTGAGTGGAGCCCAGGTGCCAGTCACAGGGGCAGTCTGACAGATCTGAGTTTTTCTAGTCCCCACTGGAAGCCTTGAGAGGAGTCACAGGCCAGAGACTTTGTGATGAGTTTAAATCAACACCTAAACCTGTTCTAGAAGAAAGCAGGTTAGGTGGGCAGAGACCACGGAGCTCAAAAGTGCCCACCTTTCAGCAGGTGGTTCCTGAGCCACCGCACAGTTCCTGGACCCTTTCCAAGTCAAGACATCAAATAACGCTTTCATGAAAGACAGGAGCGTATTGGTAGAACTCGAGACTAACCACTGGTCTGTGACATTTCTCAACGGTGTGACCTTGAGCAAGTTACTTAAACTTTGTAAGCTTCAACATCCTCCCTATAAGACAGAGATAATAGTAGCACCCCCTTCATAGAATTGTTGATGGGATTCAATGAGATTAGACATATAGAGCACTCAGCACAAAGCCTGGCATGTAATAGGTGCTTAGTAAATAAGCACCCTGGTAGGTCATAGCCATGGTCTTGTGGTCTGGGGCCTGAAAGGGAGCCTCGTGCTGGGGGGCAAGGTGGGGTGCTGGTCAGCACTGGAAGTGGCAGTGGGAGGCCTAGGAGGAACTGTGGGCACATGCAACCTCTGCCTGTATAGGACACTTTCTGCCCTTGAACCCAGCCTGCCCTGGACCCAAGCTGTCTTCTCTGGTTTCTCTTTGTGAGGATTGCAACACCACCGCAGCCTCTTTATTTTCCTGCTTGCCTGATTTTCTGTCTTCCTGCTTCCCCCTTGGCTTCTTGATCATCCTTTACCCTCTTTTGCCTGCTCTGTAAACTCGCCTGCAAAAACCACCCAGTTGCCTTGTCATTCTCTGGTGTCTATAGAGTCACGAAAGGTTAGAGATGGGGAGAAACTTGGAGTCCTCTCACCCCTCATTCCCCACTGGGGAAAGGAAGACTCAGTGACTCTCCAACGGTCAGTGGCAGAGAGGGCTGGACCCCAGGGCTCCTTGTCCAGTGCTCCACCTCCATGCCAGGCCGCGTCCCTGCGCAGCTGACTGTGTTAGGTGCAGGAGTAATAAGGCAGCATCTGCTTAATCAGTAGAACGATTTCCTGGATAACAGTCCTCTCTCATCCCCAGCCCCAGCCTCATCTCCCGTTCATGTTCTTATTCCAGGGAGAAGCCAGGACGACAGAGGAGCAGGTGGTTCCTGACCAAAGGCCACCCTCAGCTTAGAGGGAAGGCCTGAGTGTGAAGGGGCTGAGGGGGGTCATTGAGGAAGTGTGTGAGTCTTGGTTATTTCATGGTAGAATTGATGTCTGGAGGCAGAGCAGGAGCGTGGATCGGCGTGTTGTGGGGGATGTTGTGAGAGAAGCAGAAGGGCAGGGGAGGATAAGAGCAAGGAGGGAGGGAAGAACAAGAGCGGGGAGGGGTGGGTTCAGCCAGGTCAACCATAGGCCTTGTTATTTATTTTATCGGATCATAAACAGCTAGCAGAGAACCACGGGAGTGGTTTGGTGGCCTTCATTTCCTTTTGAAACTTGAGGGTTTTCATATTGCTGCATGTGGAGCTCTGGGGCACTGAATAAATACTGGGCAGTAAGGAACTCACAGAAACTGGATGTTAGTTACAGAGATGCTTATGCCGAGAGGCAGCTGGGGTGGGGGAGGCAATGGACACCTGGAATCAGGAGACCTGGATTCAAGTCTTGCCTTTCCACTCGAAGCCTTGTAACCTCGGGCAAGTCTCTTAATGTCATCCAGTTTCAGTTTCCTCTTCTGTAAAATAAAGGTAAAAATAGAGCTTGCCCTTCCTGCCTGACAGGGTCATAGTTGTGAGGATTAAATGAGATAATGGATGAAAAAGCCCTCTAATCTGTAAAGCCTTATGCAAATGTTTGCCGTCATCATCACTGGGATTATTAATAGGGTTGAGATGTCAGTGGACTTGGAAATGAAAACCAAGCATCAGCAGTGACAGTGAAAAAGCATTTCATCCGCTTTGTGGAGGGCAGACCCTTCTCCTGTCCTGACCAGTCTTGGGACAGCCAGGCAGCCGCCGTGGCTCCTCTGAAACATGTAATGTGGGGGATGGTGAACGGACTGATTCTGGGGACAAGATGCCAGCTTCTAAATCACTGTTTTGCAAAGCTGCTGGTAGTTGGGATGGTTATAGCCAGAAAGGCTGTAAGTCTGAGAAGCAGATGAGCTGCTGGAGTATGACTATGTTAACTCCTTGTTAAAGGGACTTTTCATTTATTAATGACAATCACACCATACCTTATCTTGGGTAGCACTTGAAAGATAAAAAAATGTGTTCATATCCACTGAAGTGATTTCTCAAAACCATTTCCAGAGGGGAGCAATATAGCATGAGTTCTGGAATCAGACATATCTGGGTTCTGATTTGAACTGTTTGAACCCCTCACTAGTTTTGAACTTTTGGAGCAAGTCACTTAATCCTCTAAGCCTCAGCTTCCTCATCTGTAAAATGGGAGTAATAGTACCTATCATAAAACTGTTCTGAAGATTTACATGAGTGGATCTATGTAAGTTGTCTTGCACACTGTCCAGCATGTAAATAAATGCTCAATAAATGTTAGTTATTGTTATTACTGCTAACCCAGAAGGAGCTAAGTGTTTGTGTCAAATGACTCCTCAGGCTTCCTGACAATGTCACCTTTGAGGAAGGGGCCCTCATTGAGCCACTGTCTGTGGGGATCCATGCCTGCCGGCGAGCTGGAGTCACCCTGGGCAACAGGGTCTTTGTGTGTGGAGCTGGTAAGACATGGACGACACCCTGGTTATAAGTGCATCAGCTGGGAGTGTGGGAACCCCTCTGCTATCTCACTCTCCCCCCAGGGGCTGGGATGGGTTCTAGAATCTTTCTGGGTAGGGGAAGATAACAGTATCCCATCCTGTCAGTGACCAGCACTTTTCTAAATAAGCTAATGTCAACAGACACGATGATAACTAAGATTATATATCCTAAGCATGTGACAACCTATTCGTTCATTTAAAGAATGAATCTTGGGATTATTTTGAACTGTTGACATGAAACTAGAGAAATATTTTTGGTAGTGAAGGGAAGGGCAACTTTGGGATATTACAAGTCATGCCAGAGAAGTGGTCGCCCAGTCCATCCACAAATGAGGCAGACTCAGCAGAAGGAGTGGAGTCCAGACCACCATAAACCAGCTCTCTGCCTGCACGTAGGGTACAGCTAGCTGCCTTCTCTCCTACCCTGTTTCCAGCCACCTGGAACAAGCCCCAGGAGCCTCAGACTGAATCATTCTAAGCTTCTAACAGCTGGTAACCCAGACAGAATGCTGGGTAGGGGAAGAGAAGAATAAGGAGGGTGAATAAAGAGAAGAATAAGGTCTGATCTGGCGTTGCTCATGTGCGTTTGTGAGTGGTTCTCTTTGGCAGGCCCAAAGAAGAGACCACAGGGCCTCCTAAGAGGGCTGAAGGTGTAAAGTCAGCTTGCCAGCAGACTGCAGAACTCGGTTGACAGATTTTTTTTTTTAATCTGCTAAGTAATACCTTTTTGCCATAGAAAAGGAAAATAAGTCACTCACACACACACACACACACACACACCCACATACCCACACCCACCCACACACCGAAATTCACCCATAGCCCCATCACCCATCAGCCTGACAGAATCACTGTTAACATCTTGGAGTAGAATCTTTTCATCTGTTTTTTTTCCCCCCTTAATGAAACCATGCTAAATGTGCTTCATTTTACCTACTCCTTTTTTTCAATCAACGTATTGTGAACATTTTTTTCATGTCAAATTATAAAGAGTTATGACATAATTTTTAATAGCTCCATAATATTCCACTGAGGTTTATGTAACTAATCACTCCTTTGTTGGACATTTCAGCTATTTTTCCAGTTTTTTTTTTTTTTTCCCCCTCTTGCTTTCTTGGGAAACCCACAAAATTGTTTTCAGGAAGAGTATCCAAAAAAGCAAATCCCCAAAGATGTTCTGTACAATCTCATTTTGTGGGTCTAGTGTTTATATTAAAACCATAGTGTCATCTAGCACACAGATACTGTGAGGAGGTAGGGTGGTTTCCAGGCTAATTCTTGGACACCTGAGCATCCTGGAGCTGTTGGGTCAGCCCAGGGAGCCAGCTCACCTAAGGACACCTTCCAGGGTGATCTTGAAGGGCACCTAAAAAGGATATTCTGGGAGGGCAGTGTGATGGGTTCTCAGGAAGGCGGGGGGGGGGGGGTCAAAGAGAGAAGAGGAAAATACATCCAAACCCTGTGAGACTTCTTGTTCCCTGAACAAGTATGTATTTCCTTGAATCCTCTGGTTCTTTGAGATTAGCCCCAAGCGTGCCTAAGAGTAAGTGGGAAATTTCTAGTTCTGAGGTATACAAAGGTCAAATATTTCATATAGAGAATCATTTCCTCCTGCATTCATTCACTCATGCATTCTACAAGTATTTGTTGAAGTCCTACTATATGCTAAGCATTGGGATAACTGCTAGGGGTACACAAAAGATATGGTTCCTGTCCATGGCCTGGGCATGGGGAAGAGCTGATATTAAATATTCAACAAAAATCTCCTCTTTATGCCTTGCTCAGGGCCAATTGGACTTGTCACTTTGCTCGTGGCCAAGGCAATGGGAGCGGCTCAAGTGGTGGTGACTGGTAAGGAGGTTTTCTTTTTATATCTCCTTGAGGGGGAGACAGCTGGGCTTCCAGTTGGGAGCAGGGACATGAGACCCATTTCTTTCCTGAGGTACTGGGTTTCTAAAGGGGCTCTTCCACCTTTCTTGTGGGCTCCAGGATTCAAAAGCTCACCCAGGGGATGACCAAGTTAGGGCTCAGGACGAGGGTCTTTTCTGAAGTTGCTGAGAGAGGGTTGTTGTTGTGTAGAAAGGGACCTGGGTCTTTATATGTGGACCTCAGATGCCCATTCTACCTCCTTGGCCCTAAGAGGAGATTCAGCTCTTGGTACATTTGACCAAGCCCAGGGGGAAAAGAGGGTGGGTTTGTGTGTGTGATGTGGAGTTAATGATGTGTGTTAGAGGGTGATAATATATACAAGAGAGTGTCTATGTGTAACATGTATGGTATGTGTGGGAGATGTGAGAAGGATATGTGTGTGAGGAGAGGTATCTGTTAGCAAGAGTGTGTGTGTGAGGAGAGGTATCTGAGTGTGTATATATGTGTATGTAGATGTGTGGTGAGTTGTGTGGTATACATAGAGATTTGTGGGATTATACAGATGTGTGAGTGTGTATGAGGGAGGGTATCTGAGAGTGTGTGTGTGTGTGTGTAGCTATGTGGTGTGTATGGGGGTGTGGATTGTAGAGGAGTGTGAGAGAGTGTGTGTGTAGAGGGTATCTGTGATAGTATGTTTATGTGGGGATGTGGAGTGTTTGTGTTGGGTTCACCGACACTACCCACTAACTCAGAGCTTCGTTGGCGTCAGAACCTGTGCCTTCATTTTATTTTCTCCCTAATCACCCATCCAGTTTCTCAGTTTGAAAGAAACTTTTGTTCAACTTTAGATCTGTCTGCCTCTCGGTTGTCCAAAGCCAAGGAAGTTGGGGCAGATCTCATCCTCCAGATCTCCAAAGAGAGCCCTCAGGAAATCGCCAGTAAAGTGGAAAGTCTGCTGGGGTGCAAGCCGGAAATCACCATCGAGTGCACGGGGGCGGAGGCTGCCGTCCAGGCAGGCATCTACGTGAGCGGGACGAGGGCACTGGGGCTGGTGGGCAGCTTTGGGGAAGCAGTGTAGGGTAGTGAACGGAGTAGAAGTAAGGAGTCCTGACACCAGGCTTCCCCGCTGACTTGCTTTGTCAGCCCAAGCAAAATTAATCTCTTGCTATCTCTGTTTTCCTATCTCCCTCTTGTAGAGATAATGATACTTACCTGTGTCCTCACTGGGTCATTGTGAGGTAACAGATATATTGCAGGGGCCTTGAAAAAACATCTTTGGATCCGGCAGCTTTCGTGATCTACTTATGATCATAAAAGTAGTGCTTCCGGCAAAAGGACCAACAGGAGGAACAGGGAAGCAGGGCTTGGTGGGGTGTGGAAGATCCCTTTCTTGTTTTATTGAGGAAAACTGCAGTCTTTGAGTTACAAATACAAAGTCACAGGTGTTAATTCAGTTAGTCACAAAGGCGACGTGATTTTTCAGCAGTTGACAACTGCTGTCCTTTTCCAGGCTGGTAACAGATAAGCTGCCAGTATCTGATTTGCCCCTCAGTGACCCACCAGTAATTTCTGGGAAGTTGGCAGGGAGTTAGGGGAGTGGCGTTGGCAGAGCAAAGCATAAGGAAAAAAGAAAGAGTAACTCCTAGCTTCCGAACCCTACTGTGTGTCACTTCCTCTGTGGGTGCTTTATGAGTGTGATGCCTCATCCTGCACAACAGCTGAAAAGTAGTTATCATTTTCCACATTGTCTGATGACAGAGTCCTTGGGCACACCAGTGATGTATGGGCAAGTCGGGCTCAAGCCCAGCCTGCCTGGCCCCGGTGCCTGAGGTTTCTCTGCTCCTCCTGCTGCCCAGGAGAGGAGGGGAAGGAGGGTGTCAGGAGTCAGTGGGTAACTGTGCTGGGGGAGGGGCCAGCTGGGGAGACCAGCCGACAGCAGCCAC